ATGCACAGACAACAATTTGAATAATAATGCCATCAGTTAAGGCATAGGCATTATACTTTCATCAAAGAAATCTGTCAAAAGAAAAATTACAATTAAAATGTTCTTTAAAAATCCATAAAAGCTGCTAGACCATTTTGTATGTACTTTACAGTTTAAGAAATGGGTCGTGATTACTTTATGACTTTACATAACCAAAATGCTTTCTGCTAAGCATTTAAAAGCATGGTCAATATTTTTGCTCTTTGAAAAATATTCATTGCTGATAGTAAATTGCCATGTGAGCCAACACTGCTTTGTTTGCATTTTTTATTGCAAGAAAGGAATATGAGCTGGTGCAGTAACAATAAAGAAATCAAAGCAAATCCACAGATGATTCCTCTTGACAGAACAGAAATCTGAAAAATAGTGTGTGTAGGAATGAAACACTGACTCCTGTAACACACATGACTTCACAGCCCATTACTGATCATCTAATTCCTTGTTGTTATTTGAAGCATTGCAGATGAAGATTATTCTGACTAGTTTTTATTTTTATTAAGGTTGTGAGACACACGGAAAACATCAAATGATAAATGGGCGAATGAGAGAAACACGGATGACTAGAAAGATTATCGATATACAGTATAAATAGGCTGAACAAAATAATTGGTAGATGTTCCAAGTAGAAAATAAGTTATATCCATACATATTCAGCCATTATTGCTAGCTGGTAATTTGCATGATGAATTAAGGGATAGCAGATTCATTAAATATCTCTTAATGGACTTTGTCTATAAAACAAGGTTATGAAAGAGTTATATTTTCCTCTTACACAGGAGAGGAGCGAGTTACCAAAAGTAAAGATATTTTCCAACATACTTTCTCGCTATGTCAACTTACAGAAAACTCAAGTGTAACTTTGAGAAGGAATAGGGAACAAATCTGCAGAAAGCCTTGTTCCAGAAAAAGGGCAAAGAAGGTGGAACTTTCTGACGTTTGGTCTTGAATTTCTGTAAAATTTCAGACAAAATATTAGTCACCAATGAAGGTGCAAGCAAAAGGTGACCAGAATCAAACGGCTTTCCCCATGATATACCAAAAGCAGACAAAGGCATCACTGTAGAAAAATGAGTGGGACACTCATAAATTACTAAACCTCTAAGTCTGAAAGTAGCCAAAATGGGAAAAAATACATATCTTCCCCCAAAGGTGCAAGGATTAAATTACTATCAGATAATCTCTTTGTGCCGTCCCATTTTTTAATTTCAAAATAAAAAGTAGCTAAAATTCAGTGGTTAACAGAAACCTAGGCTGAGAGCCTTTCTCTCACTGAGAGCCTGATCCACTTAGCTCCCTACTTTTTCCCAAACTTAGGAAAAGCATCTTGCACAAGGAAGGATTAAATCTGCTCTGTGCCCATGAACTTGTCCAACCTGTGAGAAAATACCGAATGATTTTGACCACGCTAATCTGACACCATCTCAACCTTCTGGACATCTTCTAAAGAAGCAGAACTGGACAAAAGTTGTTCAACAGGTAATTGACTCAGAAACAGGAAATAAAGAGCTCAGGGCCAGACAAGTTGTGGGAGGGCAAACTTCTATTTCTACTAGTGTTTTATTGCAAAAAAATGTCAACTGTGAATTTGAAATCCCTAGGCCCACCACAGATCTTTATAATGTCTTCTCAGACTTCCCTTTTACAGGAGTCTGGCATATGGCTTATGATAAGTAACCTTCACCATATAAGCTCAGCCTGGATATAAATGCTCTCTACTAGCGTAGCATCCTCAGCCTTCAGGAACCTGAAAATAATTGCAGTGGAGTTACTATACACATATTCATGGTGAGCCCCAAACAACCAACAAAAAAGGGAAGCAAGATCCATAAAGAACCTAAATGTATTTATTTATCATTAGAAGCACAAATATCGGAAGTCTCTGAACTGCAAAGAATTTCAGGAAAAGGAAGTTGTACTGATAGTGGTTCTGGTCCATTATGTAAGCCAGGAAAATCTCTTTAAGGAAATAAAAAATCAGAAGACGTGAAATAACGCACCCTGTTGAAGTGAAGGTATCATCACCACTAATGCTATCATCCTGAAATCTTACTAGTGATGAAAGATCTTTAACTTTTTGAAGTTAAGGAGATGTCTCTATTCTTCACACCTACTAGGACTAGCTCCGTAAAATCTGAACCCTCCACTCCAAGACGAAAGGCTCTATAAACAATAAAGGTAAATGAACATCTCCCTCTCAAAGCCCGGTCTCCTGGCAAGGGCTTTTGAAAACAGGTGGGGAAGAAGGTTTAAGGAGTAGGCTAGGAAAAGCGATTGCTGTAGTGTTCAACAATGTAGGACAATATGGATTCAGATCAACTGTCAACAGCCTGAATCCAAAGAAAAAGTAAACAAAAGAAACATATTTGGAAGCAAGGACTCATGGCTCTCACCACTCCTTGAAAAGTCCTGCGGTAACTACCACAAGGAATGAAGAAACGTGTGCAAAGTTAAGTTTTAAGGATAGTCAAGCCATGTGGAAAGAGGAGCCAAAGTTGTAGCATTTAAGATCTATTATTTGGCTTCTGTCAAAATGCTGTTGTGAAGCTTCCTGATTATGTCAATGTGGGCATAGAGTTTCTAAGAGATTGAAAGACTTGCCCAGTATCAGCTCAGATACAGTCTCCCTCTGAGGGATTGTCTTTAGTTGTGGCTTGCAGTTCATGGGCATCCAGCGCTGTATAGCCAGAACAGTCTTCTTCAGAAAGTAAGACATAACATGCTATGTTATCTAATCTCTTGTAATTTAAAAGAAGAAAAAAAAGTACAAAAAAAGGGAATTTATTTGTTCTAACCTTCCAAGAATGAAATCCTTATAATATCAGATATTTGACTTAGTATAGCAGAGCCTGGTAATCTGCTCTTCTTATTTGAAGGTTTGGCAATTAAAAAAAAAGTAATATTTCTCCCTCTACAACCAAATGTTTAAAGCCCCTGCCAGAAGAAGCACAGTGAGACTGAAAGTGTGCCAGAACCATAGCAACAAAAAATAGGAGTCAGTGGAGGGTGAGTAAAAAGGAAAATCCAAACCACCTGCCAGCACTTGGTAGCATCTGTCACTGTACAAGAAGTGGGAGAACATGAAAGCAATGCTTGCCAAAGCACTTGAGCTCAAAGCAATATGGCATCATTCATGGATCTGGTTGTATCAGCTAGCATAGACCCTAAGAATACCAACCATGAACAGAACAAAATTTTGGGAAACCTTTACAGAGATCCATAGAGTACTCAACTGTCCTCTGTAGCAATGCTTTAAGATTTTGTAGGGGTTTATATAAAAGTTCATCCCCAAATGAAAAGCAGAAGCAGCTCTCATTCATGATACCACTAAGGTGTTCAAGAGCAAAAGGTCACTTGCACATTTACCCTTCATGTAGGTAAAGGATATGGTAGTCTCCTGAGGTGACATCTTTGGGGTGAAGATGAGGGGGTGTTGTGGAGGCAAAAGTTCCTTATCATCCGCTGAGCCTACTTATTGGGAAATGATATGTTGGAGACGTGATAATTCCAAGAGATGATGCCTTTCCTGTAACAGCATTTCTAGAGTATGAATATTGAGCAAGAGGCAATAATCCTGTAAGCCAAGGGTATTTTCAAGGTTACTGAAAAGCTCCTCAGTCTTGTCTTTTGGTCGTGATGAGTAAAACTTTAAGGCTGATTCACGTCTCTTAGAGGGACATAAGAGAAAAGTGATTTGGTGTAAGCATGGATACAGTCCAGAAATACCAGTCATTACTTCCTATGACCTTTATAAAGATAATAGACAAAAGACATATCAGTAAAGGCAGAAACTCTAATGAAGCTCCAGCCTCAAACTGAGGGAAAAAGTGAGTCGGGGCAGACCCTGAAATATCACAAAGGTCATAAACCGTGAAATCTGGTGATAAAGGCACAGAAAAAAAGCTCAGAACACTGTGATCATTTTGTGATTGCGCAGACAAAATCCATTTTTCCTTCAGCTATAGCAAATGTTCCCTCTTTACTGCCAGAACAGACAGCACAATCAGAAAACATGCATCTCAAGTACCTCTCTGTGTATGAAGAATCAAAGCACCATGCAGGATATCTAAAGTTTTTCTCTTTTTTATGAATGGACCTAGAGTGAGACATTCTTCTCCCCAGATGAGTGGAAATTTATTTTCTTGAATCTAAGACTCATGAAAAGGATAAAAGATGAATTTTTAACATTTTCTTGGAAATAACTTTCGCAATCTGTACTTGAAGTCTTAATACACAAAATACTCAGATGGAATAAAAGCTTCACCCAGACAAAACAGGAAGTCGATACTTTCATCTCAGAGAGCATAAAGCCAAAACTTTTGTTGAAGAATTCATAGGTGTGCAAGTTATATTGTCCCACTACAATCAAAATTTGAGCTCAGAACAAAAAAAAGAATATTTAAATAACTTGAAACCATACTTTTTGAATTACAGATAATCAAACAGAATACACTGTGAAGTGAAGTAAAATAGAAGGTCCAGATGAATCTTCAGTAAAGAGAAGTTAACTGTAGAGAACTATGGTTCAAACGTAGATGGAAACGAATGCTGGGTGATAGGCTGTGTGCCAAGCCCACAGGTCCAATAGGCCAACTGGACAAACAATTCTCTATTTCTAAAGACTGCACAGCTTTACACTCAAAATATACAGAAAAGCACTTGGTAAATATCGTCATTGTGCGAATTCAGAATTCATTCATTCACCTCTAATTCACTTTTTGATTTCTTCAAAATTTAATCCCACACCAATTATTTAGACTCTTCAAGAGGTGAACAGAAAGATTTCAGAGATAATAATTTTTATATACACACATACACAGGGATGGGTCACATATATTATTATGCAATTATATATTACACAAACATGCATATGTAAAGGACCGCATTCAGTTTGATTAATATTTCTGGATGAAAATTCACCTCTTTAAGTGCTACCATCATTTCCAAAAACTGCATTCTCATACCTTTGCATAAGCAGTCGTTTTGATAAACCACTGTTTGAGGTATTTCTGTTCCACTTTTGCTCCTGAACGCCATGAGCAACCATTGTCATCCACCTGTTCATTAGCTAGAACAGTCTGATCCACTGGATCCCAATTTACCAAGGCCTAAAAAAAGTTACAGGAAGAAAAAAATATTTTCAGTAGCTATTTAAAAAAATAGAATCTTACTTTCCAGATACCAAAAGAATTATCCAGAAGTATACCTTGGACCCCTGAGTTTTCTATATTTTTATAGCATCCATTTGAATCAGCAGCATGGATTCAGCTGAAGATGTGTTGAATATTCATCTTCTCAGAATTCAAAAGACCCAAGAATGCAGTTGGCAGCGTTTTTCTAGACTGATCCAGCTAGCAGGAGAGGCTGACACTTGACTGCTTGGCTGTTAAATAAGTAAGTGTTCCGATTGACTATAATGCAAATGACATAGTCTGATGCTTAAAAGCTCTTCACTACTAATCCAAAAATGTTGAGTCAGACTGAGGGAGATGAATAAAAAAGGATGTCCACTTTGAGAGGACATAATCACAAAGAAGTAGCATAATGGTCAACTATGTTTCAAGTGAAAGAGTTGATATTATCTGCACATAACTTCTGTCTGCTGTGTGAATTACTTTTTGAATCACCTCTCCTTCTCAACACAAATGCATCAAAGTGAAATAAATCTTAGTGTTCAACTGTACAAACCTTGTTTTCTGAAGGTTAATTGAGATACCAGACATAATATACTGGGGAGGGAGCAAAAATCAAAATCTCTCTCCTCCCCAGTGTTCAACAATTTAGCTGATCACTCACCATAAAGGATCTAAGGTCACAAAAGAATCCTACCAGTCATTCCAAAAGTGTTGCTAAATGCTAGATATTAAATTGAAAAAATGAAGAGAAAGTAAGAGAAAAAACCTATAATCAAAGCAATAAAGAAGAGTAATCCAGTATATTGAGTGTTATTTAGTATTTGAGCTAAATCAGACTGACTGAAAAACTGTAGCTCCATAGAGTTCTAATACATTAAAGATCTTTTGAAAATCTCAAATGCATTTTTTGGGATGAGGAGGACTTAGTATCTCAATCAAAAACTAATCACTGTCCTCATATTGTTCATGTTACATTTTATCTATCATCGATCATCTTCTGAAGTGCCCATTTAAGACATCAGTAGCTGAAAGGTCTTGTCTTTGAATTTTTAAAGTTACATTTTGTTCCTTCCATCTCTCACAGACTTTTGACTAATATCTAGAACTTGGCTAATAAATTAAATCTTTAGTTCCTACTTATACCTCACAAAGGCAACTTCTTGACAATGACAGCCTCTGAAACTATGACCCCAGGAAGCTGCTGAAAGTCATCTACACAAAGAAAGCACAATGCAAGAGCATACAGAGCACACCAATAATTTCAATCTCCTCAATATGCCAATATAGACCATATGCTTTTAAGATAGGATTTGTCTCGTCCAACTTCAGGTATCTACAGCATGAGTATCTCTGGGCTTGGTATCTCTGGGTCCACTACAGATTACAGGTGTCTAATCAAAATCACAGAGTCAGGGCAGGTATTATCCTCAATGAGACACCCACTTCTGGCCAGGTATTGTATTCTCTACAGTATATTGACTATATTGACTAGATCAGTACTGCAGGAAAAAGAAAGAGGATTTTGCTATGGTGAATAAAGGTGCCCGCTATGAATGCTGTAGCACCCAGACAGACATTGTTAATCCTCCATAATTGCATCTCTTGGACATATTGAGTCTGTGTGTCCCTGCCAGGGTAATTTCTGGTCAGACACACATACTCCTTGGCACGGAGTGTTAACTAGGCTAACGCTCTACTTGTCTTCTTCTTATTGTCACAGTAAGGCTAAGAGTTATTGTACCCAAAATGAAATTGTAATAAAGGAGACTTAAAGCTGTGTAAAAGTACTCCTTAACATATATTGCAGATAAACTGACAACATGAGATAAATTTATGTTTTAAGTATATACGACTATTCGAAGAGACCCAGGGTTATAGGCTCTCTCTGCCATCTGTTTCCTGCCAAAAAGCAACTGGTTCATATCCACCAGAGATTATATCCCCTACAGGTTGACAGATGCTGATTTAAGTCCTCAAACTGATCCCTGACTTGAAAGCAGATGGAAGTTGGAAGCAGATTCAATCACTGGTACCCAAACACCTCCAGGATCCCACAGTACTTGGAGCCTACATGAAAAATTTATTTTGTATATCATCACTGCTTGGAATGAAGCAGCAAACCTTGTGCTTTTCAGATTCGCTTGGGGTCACTTGTCAAGCAAACAAATTTACATATAAAAATATATTTGTTATGGCAAAGACAGGGGTTTAATTTTTTTAATTACAAATTAAAATGATTACACAAGAAAAAAAATAAAAAAACCCCAACCAAATCCAGCATGTTAGTACATATCACATATTGAGGTTTTTTGCTGGTTATCATTTAAGATCTCTGAGTACATCTTGCCTATGCAAATGGGAGAAGTAGCACCTTGCCATCTTAAACGCTACCTTTTACCATCAGTCTCTTTCCCTGGGTTCAGAGAATAATTAGAGTACATCCCTAATCATATCCTATGTGGTTTCCCGGTTTCTATAAAATACAAATGAAATATCAAATCGTATTCAAGAAATCTTAGTTCCCATTTTAAGTTAGAAACATTCACTAAATTGCTACTTTGTTTAAGTGCAGCTGTTCAGGTATTTTGGAACTGCATTGCCTTGGCTATACAGTGAGTTCTTTGGACTACTCATTTAACATCTTTGTTTTACCTCCTACTTAAGCAATTAACCGAACCCTTCACTTTTCAGATAGCCTGATACATGTTATTTACAAAATATTATAATTTCTTAATGTACTGCTAGCAGATAAACAGCTGTGATAGTCTTATGGCATCCAGTTCTTCTGTAACACTTTAGAGATCACAAATAGGGTTCAGGAATAGGACAGCTATGCACCCAATCTCCAACTGTCATATCCAATCCCATCAGTTCTGAGACAGTATCACAATAATGTCATGCAGATAAATAATCTCACAGCTGAAGAGACTCCTAATGATCACAATGTCATATAATTTCACGAGGGAAGTTAAGATCTATAGAAAATTATATATTAAAGCCAGGAAACAAACTAATAAAAGTTATATTCTGATCCTGCACTTCAATGCAAATCTCTGACAATAAACACTTCTGATTTGACTTGTTACAATGGCCATTCATGTTGGTTTATTAGTTAGTTACATATAAAATTCAGTTATATATAACATTATTTCTATTTTGAGTGATTTAAAATTAATAGAGCACAATCACTGAATGAATGTGAATGGACAATCTGGAAATGTGCCACTGACACAAATAACTTAAATTAGTGTACCTGCAAAATATTAGAGTTCAAAGTTTGTACCTACCTCTTTTTGATACACTATCCCAGCTTCAAAAAGCTTAAGAAAGAGATACTGTGTCCATTTGTAGTACTCTGGCAAGCAAGTGGTTACTTCCTGTAGAAATTAAACAAAATAAAAATTCCTGAAACTATGCTTAGTATTTTCTTACATCATTTTAACATAGACAATTAACCCAGGAGTGTATAATATATTCCACAGAGAAAACATAACTGTTTCTTCATGTCTGTGTTCACATACAAACTTCATTTTTGTAATGTTTACAATTAGTGATATTCACGTGTACACGAAATCAGAGAACACAGGCTTTGTGTGGGTTTGATGTGCAAAGAAAAGTTTCCCTCTTAACATGGAATATAAGAATCCTGTAATATTAATGCTGATAGATATAAGAACAGAAGATGAATGGAAATGATCACAGCTGTCTGATCTGGGAAACAGCAAAACCAGAAAAAAAAAGACCTCTGTCAAAGAAGCCATCCTAGCCAGGTAGCCTTTTCCTCTGTTGCTCAGCAATGAAAAGCAGGAACAGAGCCTGCTGACTGCTCAGAGGCAGCTGGGAGCTGCTGCAGTGAAATGAGCAGAACAAGGAGCTTACAGCTGAAACATTGGATGCGTGAGGACAGAACAACACCACACAGGAACCCGGGCTGCTGTCAGACAGAACATGTGGGGCAGATAGGATCGAATACAGGGTAAGATTCTAAACTTCAAGATGAAAGACTCGCAAAGGATATCTTACATCCAAAGGTCAATAAGCAAGGCAAGGCAGCTCAAGTTAGGAGAAGGCTCTAGCTTGAAGGATGGAAAAAATGAGTCATAAAAGAAGTCACAAATGAGGGGGACTGTTAAGAGGGGAAAAAAAGACAGAAAAAATAAAAGACAACATAAGAAGGAGGAATGGGAATTAAGAGAATAGCAAGTAACTATAATGGATAGCTTTTTTCAAAACTCAAACACATTTTCTAAGTTTTAAGTGGAATATAATATTTAAAAAACAACCTACTGACCAATTGCTTACAAAGTTCCATATTTTAAATGTTTGTTCTTGAAAAAAACAAATTGCTTTTCAAGTAAACATCATAATATGCAAAGATGACTAAGGGATTCCATCATTACATACTCCCAGTTGTCTCAACACAAACACAGGTTTCACAGGCACAATGCAAACCTATATGCTCACATCCGCATACTTTAAATTTTGGCGAAAGTGAAAAGAACTGAGTAACTCAGTATTTAAGCTTTCATTACATCTTTATTATGTACCAGTAGAGACCAGATTTCCCTCCTCAACTTTTTCTTTTTAACTTGCACTTGTTTAAAGAAGAAACATTTCTACAAACTTTCTGCTTGACCACATTTGTACATATTGAAATGGAAGATGGCTGAACTTCAAATCAACACAAACACCTCTTGATTTTAGAGTTACTGATAAAAACTTTCTCAGTAAGCCACTGATAAAATTTATTCCCTTTATAAATAGTTATCAAGTACCAGGAATAGCTCCAAATGTGAAATGTCTTTCACATAGGCTTTCCTATCATCTAAGCTTCCCACTACACACAACTCCTGCAATATCATCTGCTACTCAAATGACATCTGAAACACTGTAGCATAAAATTTTTATTCTTTTTCTACAACTTTATATTCTAGTTGCTTTGAACTTTATATTCCAGTGCTGAAACACTGCTTTTTACAATTAAGATGACCTTTGAATAGATGTGCCTCAAAAGTGGGTATAAGAGGCTTTCAAGATCAGAAACAGACATTTAATGGCAAGTTTTCAGCACAGCATGTGAAGACCTAGTAATGAAAAACAGTTGCTTGATTAATTCCCTGTGCTCTGCACTGAAAAAAATCCACTTGATAAAAGTCTGATTTCCATCTCTCCAACCAAACACTATCCATTTAGTAATTCTTTTTCCCCCCCCTGCTTCTTCACACAGTGACAACAGTTCTTCTGCCAATGTGATGCCACTACAGGCAACAGAGTTTCACCACTGGAATACTGGACACATAAAAGAAGAGAGACAATCCCCTTCAGTACAATGTCAGACTATCTGAGCAACAGACAAACGGGTAGGACAACAGGAGTGAGTTGTCAAATAAAAATTGTAAAATGATTGGAGATTTGTCCTTCTGGCCCTGAATGGCAGATCTGTGCTTTCTGAAACAAAAAGATTACATGTCCCAATCGAAAAGAGCATGTTACAAGCCAGACAAACTTGAGCTACAAGATACAAGGTAACTCCTGAGAATGGAATCCCATGTACGTGGTCTCTCACAAGTTGTAAATTGACACTTTTTAGAAAGAAATGCAGCACCCCGTGTCACTGAAAAAAAAAATCTGCTGTGTGGTCATTGAGCTGCAAAAAGATCACTCAAGTTCATAATTTCACTTTATAACCATGAAGGTTTGGAGTAGCATTTGAAGTTAATGAAGAAAGAGAAATTACATCACTATCAAGTGAAATGAGCTGCTGAAGGCAAGCCAGCAAACTCTTGTCAATCCCAAAATATGTTTTGGGTCTTTTTTTTCCTATCATTTAGCACATTAAGACTTACAGTTAAAAATAATTTTCTATGTATTCCAGTTACTGATCTTGATTAAATAAATGATGTCTGGTAAAAAGTTTCCATTATGCTGCCATCATGCTTAAATTAAGGCGAATGTTAATGTTTCTATTTATACTTTATAAGCATGACAAAGATCTGCAGAGCATTAACATAACTAACTTAACTCAGAAATACACAAAAGAGTTTATAAAAGGGATTGAAAAATAGCACGCTGGAGCCATTCCACCCTGCCAAAAATTGTTACTTTCTGCTTCTCATTTGTGATCTGAGCACTAGCATAAACAGCACACATATAGAACCCCAAAGCATAAAACGGTTCAGTGAATATATATAACATGGCATTAACATATTTTCTCCAAAAATAAAATACCTACTAAAAAATCAGAACCCTTTTACAAATATGTAAGATACTGCACACTGTCCACTGCATTTGCTCTTCAGTGCTCTGTGACAGATTTAGTCATCACCCATTACCCCTGCCTTTCAGGTGGTAATATGAAATGGGAGGGAAAGCATCTCCCTCTTCTCCCCATCCATTTTCCCTTTTCCTCCTGTCAGCTTCAAAAAGAGTATCCGATACTCTCACCAAAATACCTCTTTATCATTGGTTACTGTTAGTGCTCCTTATTCCTACAGGAATGACACTCATTCATCAAATCAGTTCATCACAACAATTAAAACAAACCACCTGTAAGAACAGTCTGCTTTTAAAAGGACAGGTACTGGCAAGTACCTAGAAGTACATAGAAGAGAAAGACCCCTACCCTTATTAAAAACTACCTTGCTTAATCTATTTATTGCAGCACAGTAATCTGTTCCTAACAAATACCACGATGGACGGGTTGGTATCTTACTTACTTTTGCAAACAAATTCTCAGTTACAGATTAAAATGGCAGTATTACAATTTAGATTTGATAGCACTGCAACTGGGAAGCAATAGATTCATGTTCATGTTAAAGGGCCATTCATAATGAAATAATCTGGTTTAAAAAAATTCCTTTCAGCTACAAAAAAATATGGGAAAACCATCAGGAAAGAATCTGCATTAAAAAACCCCTGAAAAAACCCAACTCAAACTGGATGAAAGATTTTGGTGTTTTTAATAAAAGAAAAACTCATTTTCAAATGCTCTGTTTTAAAATTTATTATTTTTTCTAAATCTGCTATGAATCTCTGACCTTTTAACTGGTTTTTGCTAGTATTTTTAAGAAGAAAGTTACATCTTCAAGCTACTTTCTTTCTTTCTTTTTTTTTTTTCAAATAAAAGTAATATTTACAGGCTGCATGAAAAGATTTATTTGTTCTAAGATCCACCAGGCCTTATGAATAACGTATAACTAGAGAGAAGTAATTTCCTAGTTTATTGCCAATAATTTTATTTTTACCATAGTCTTATGCTATCCTAAAGATAGGCATGTTGCACTTATTTAGAAGGAGACAAGCAGAAAAAATCTGGGCAGATTCTTTTCAAATTCTATTTGGGAAGATTAAACAGTTTAATCAATTATTTGCCTATTTTGGTTTTAAAGGACATGTAACACCTCATCTGAAAGTATAATTATTTGATTTCTGAGGTTTAGAGATAGACCAACCTACATTTCCAAATTAATTTGAATATTTGTATTTCAAAGGCCCTTAGTTTTATGCTTTATTAGCTACAAATACAAATGTCATTCAGTGCCTACATTTTAGAGCATGAATATCTTCCTCGAAAAAAAAAGTAGCCTTGTATCAACAGTTTGCTTCTTTTACTTAATTACAAGTAGGATCACTGATTATCAGTTATATGTGGATGAAAAGGAAATAGGTACATTGTACATACAATGTACATAGGTACATAGGTAATGCTCTATGTATTGTTAGCTTTATGCATGCTCAGGCAGAGCACAAGAATGACTTCAAATCTAAACAGAAAAATATCTGCACAAAGAAAATCTTCCAAAGATTTCGTCTTTTTTAATGTACTCTTATGCAAAATAAATATGTCACTTGGAATGCAGAAATTGAAATGCAGAGTGAGCTACTTTCTATGAGAAAATTATAGATTGATAGTAACAACAGTGGTGAACTGATGGCTTGCTGGGAACATGCATTCAGTCTGATGGCACTCCCGAGAAAAAGAAAGGAAAAATGTTATATGCTCTCCATTCCTTGTTGCTGATGACATGAATCTTTGAAAATTATATTGCCTAATTGCCTTGAAAATCATCTTTAAAAAAAGTGGCAAGCAGATTGCTATGCTATCTGAGGTGATATTTTTGAAAAATCTGACCACCAGGAATGCTCTGATTATTGGTATCTTAAAATCAAAGCATAACTGCAATGTTGGGGATTTTTTAATTTTGCAGGTGTTTTTAATGTCTCTTAGAGACATTTCTTCCATGCTGAAACTTCAGCTTTGTAATCTTGCATCCGAGAAACATAAATGTTCAGAATAGAAATGCTCTCTCTCTTATTGTTTTTTCTAAGTATCTCCCCAAAATCGCACCATTTTTGAAGTGATTTAAAAATACAATATTTCTTACTTGAGGCACTTAAAATACCTCCACGTTTCAGGTAAAAAATTTTAGATTACTATCAGTATTTAAAAGCAAAGTACTTACAGAGTTATTTTATGCATTTAATTACATTTTTCATTTGCTTACATTTTCTGTTTAGGAGAATAATTTTAAGGTGTCTTTGTAACTTGACTGTCCAAAATCATCTAATTAGCTTTTAATAATGTCTTATTTGTGGTGCCTCACTGAGTAAATAATTTTACTTACTGCTGCAATATACACATATTTGCACATTTTGATTTATAAGACAGAGAACAACAAAAAAACCCCCACAGATAAATAAAAGGAAATTTCTACCATCGCAGGTGCACTGGGATTTGTTCATAATAATTTTATCAAGCAATAAAATTAGACCTAGTCTTCATATTCCTGGACAGGAATTTCTCGACCACCAGACATGACTTTATAGGTAGCCAGATTCTTCAGCACAGCTACACGCACTAGGTATTCAAAATGGACTTTTTTTCCCCCCACTTCTTTTTTCCTTTACCATTTTTAACATGGCAACATTTATTTAAGTTCCCTTCCCATCACCTAGCCATATAATATACTCTAAGATGGCCACAGAGGACAGGGACAGTTAACATAAAAGGTTCACACTCTAAAAAGGCAATTCACCACACACTAAAATAGGTATCTAAGTTAGGGGAATGGGCTCCCTCCAGCATGTATTTGCTAAGCACTACGCTCTAGCACAATGGAGGGGCAGATTTAAGCAAGACCAGTGAAATTAAATTAAAAACAAACTCCTGTTTTGTATAATGGCTTTTGGTTAATTAAACTAACACATATAAAAGGTATCTTACTTGGATTTTTCATAGGAGTCACTAATGCTACTGGGTTTGTTTGCAGTGTCAGTGTTTTGTAAGCCCCCTGATTTAGAACCATACAAGAAGAGAATACTAAAAAAAAAAAATTCTCCTTACCTCAAAGAGCTCACTTTTTTGATAGGTACCTGCACAGCACAGTGCTTTGCTGTGCAAAGATGCTTGGGTTACCCCAGAAGCAGCACAGCTGAGGCAGTAAGATGCTCTGCCCAGCCTAATTAGCCTTGCAGAGAAGTAGGTTTTATCAGCCTGGATAAAACATTCTGCTACGGATTCTATTTCCACAGGTTCTTTCATGGCTAGCTCAAATATCTGTGCATTTGAAGATCATATAATATTTTAGGCATCATACATTTTTTGCAATGAATAAACATATCTATTACTAATGGCTACTATTCAGATCACTCTTACTCCAGTTAGTAACATAGGCTTTCTAGGTAAAATAAAACTTAACCGATTAGCTAAGGAGTGAAAAATAAAACGTATTGTGTTTCAAGGAACGCTTTTTAGCTGTTTTAAAATCTTACCTTTCAAAACCACAAACTACATGTCCCTAGAGCATTTAAAAGTATTTCAATTACACAACAGTTCAAGTGGAGTACATTGTAGAGTTTCAGAGCCCCTTCCACAAGTATTCAGAGACTCCTGAAAGTTCATTAACCAAGACATGGTTTACTAGAAAAGCGAGGGTAAGCTTCAAAGAACAGGCACAGAGATGACAAATGATTTTTCCCTGTGTACTTATACTTCCTGCCATGGTTTTCAGTACTGCCAGTTCTCCATCTGTTCTTTGGAATGGAAGGGTTAAAGAGAAGTCCATACACGGAGATGAATTTTCTGAATTTTCTTGATACCATCAGTTTCAAATATAAGAAAATAATTGTCAAGCATGTGTGCCGTGAACCTTCCACAACAAATCTTTTATTTTCAGAGCAACTTTTTGGCTACCAAGAAAACGAAAACCTTACTAAAAAGGCTTATACTGAAAAATCTTGCCATATATATGACATGATGAAATATGGTTTTTTAGATGTAAGACATACAAATAAACAACTTCACCTTCAAGATTAAAGAAAACAGATGGCATGTCTCAGACTGTCAGAAAGTAATGTGTTCCCTTTTCAGATCTACAATACTGCTATAAAAATCCAAGATTAGCATCTCCATCACTCTATTCAAAATCACATTAAGGTGATAACAGTTATTGCTGAGAATATAAAGGCAGTGATAGACTGATTCACTGGTAAATGCAATAGCCTTACAATTGCTTCAAACATTAATTCCTTTTTTAACTGGAAAATGACATTAGCTTATGATCTGATCTGTGTTTGGGAAGTTTTTTAAGGTGAACACCTGATTGTCAAGCACTAGTGTTTTAAATAAAATTTATGTTTTCCAAAATGGTCACGATATGAACATCTACAAAAATGCAGGCTTATGCTTCAAAATTTGGAATATCAAAACCAAGACCTTGACATACACATTGAAGAGAGCACTCCTCAAAAAATACATACCTTAACACAAAGGCATTGCTGTTTCATAAATATCTGTTTAGACTATTGCCTTCCTTCTAACACAGAAAATTGATACTTCAAAGAGACGAAAAAGCAGAGAGAAAAATCCAAATACAAAACTGAAATCACTTTAAAGATTCTCCTAAACATTGATATTATCAGATGATATCAGTATTCCAAAAGCGAGGAAAATCTGATAAAAAGCTCAATTTTACAGTTTAGCAACTTTAACTGGTCACTACCAAAGACTTTTATATTGTCATAAATAAAATAGTGAAATTCCATGGCTTTCAATGTTGCATCATACAATAAAATAAAGCAGTATCCATTTAAAAAGAAAATCTTACCCTTTCCCATGTAAAAGAGAGACCTAGTGCATCAAACTGTTCCCTCATGTGCTGAATATTACTGCAAAATAATAATAATAATAAATTAAAAATTATTAACTTAAAATATTTCTATCGTGTGATCACATTTAAAATCAGGTGCTTAAAAAGTTCTGAGAAATCAAAAGCACTAGCTAACCTCTAAACACTATGATCTCAGAATTGTCAGAATACTCATCTTAAATAATAATTTTAAAAGTCCCCAGTGTATTCTGGTCCAATCTGGCTATGTATACAAGATAGATTTTTTTTTCTCTTGATTTTAATGCAACTTAATAATAAATATGGCACTGCAGTTTGAAGGAAGCATTACTGAAGCACCACTTCTCATTATTTTTAATTATCTTCACTGCATTTGAGCCAAAGGGCCCTCTGAAATCTTCTTAATGCAGTAGGATGCACTTCTACCATCAGCTTAATCCTGCTCTATCCTGACAATGCTATCCTGGCTATATTTTGCTGTGGTGATTGTGTGGCTATAGGATGACTTGAATCAGCTTACCCATTCAATTGAAGACACTCCCTACAAAAAGTTCTCAAAAAAAACCCCACCAGTTTTCTTTCTTCCCTCTGATCAACAGGCTGATCAAACCAAGACTGTGGGCCACAAAAACAGCTGAGCCAACACAAAGGAGGTGGTGGGAACATATATCCTGGGAGGCAACAAGGAACAGCTAAACTTCTGGTGGCAGCAGAAAACCTAAGTCAACGGTGAAACTGTAGGGCTAGATATTGCCCCAGATCAATAATATTATAAATGTAAAGTAAGATACAGCAGAATATACAGTGAAGCTTTAGTTTGAAAATGTACTAAATACAGTTTACCAAAATACCCACAATTACACGACACTAATTAGTGACCTGGTGTGAAGTCATTCACATACTGTAACATTGGTTAGAATTTCTAATGGACTTATACCTTTCTACTAAAATGCATTATGTCAGATGAAGTAGTATCTGTCCTCCCACTGTGGCTAAGTTGACAGTCATGAAATCAAGCATTTAATTTTGATCCAGAGCAAACTTGCACTGCTGAATAACTGAGAAATGCAAGTATTCAGTACCTGGAAAAGGCCTACCTTTTCTAGTAAGCTATCTTTCCTGGTTTGGGTATACCAGGAAATCCTCTTATGGACTCATGGCTTTCACTGGAAGAAACCACACTTTTAGTAGTGCTGCTTTAATTAAAGTCCCATTCAAAATTAACAGTACTGATTAAAAAAAATAATATTTGAGCAATTTTCACAAAGCTTCTGCTGCTATAATTACTCATGCCAACAAAATTTTCTGTTTGTATAAATAACTCTGTCTTCAATTTGTTTTATGTTTTTTCCTATCTTTGAGAATATAAGAAGTAATAGTCAATTTAAGTTAATTTGAAATCACCTCTTCAGCAAATCAAGATACTCTGAAATTTGGTTGGTCACTCCTGAAACAAGCAAACTGAAATGGTTAATGTACCCCCTTTTACAGGGGCAGCTGTGTCTGCACCAGGGATGACTAAAACACATCAGGGTTGATGCCATAGCTTCATGTTCAGTTCAGTTGCTGCAGGCATGAAAAACATTTGGGACAGGGGCAGCGAAGAAAATGGGAGACACTAATTACTTCAGTGGTCAGAATTTAAACTGCCTGTATGATGAACCAACTCTTTTCCTTAGCATAAACGAAAAAAATTAGGTATGTAAATATTTTTTCTATTTGGATGCTGCTGTAATAAGTTCCGATTATGATGTGCTACCTTTTCTCAGTTTTTTTTGTTATAGCTAACTCTTAAAACTAGATAATTGCTCTCTTCAGTACTAAGGAAACTTTAAAAGCAAATCTTTTCTCCAGTATAAAACATCTTGTCCTTGCAACTAACTAGCTGAACTGCTTTAAGTATATGGAACAATACGAACCTATTTACAACAAAAGAGAAAAAGAGAAGAGCATAGAAAGCAGCAGAAGATAATCAGCTCAGGCTGTGCCCTGCCACATGCTTTTTGATATGAACTAGACAAACTGCAAAGACGACACGGGCTGAGCTGACACGGTTCTTTGCTATTGCACAAGTCTCTGCCCCACATGCTTGCTGCTTTTCCCTTGAGCCAGTTCAGCTCAGTCAGCTGGCAGAATGGCTTTCCTCTGAGCTGGCAAACTGAGTCAGTTCAGCAAGATGCCCTTCCAGTGCCAAAGCCAGTATAATAGGTAGACCATGTAGTAGAAAGAAGGGGAAAACACTAACCCTTCTGCAGTCAGCAAGTCTTTAATGTCAGCCTCGTTGTCTCAAAGTTACAACCTCTGCTTCTCTGTGCCTCATTTGTCAGGTAGGGAAGGATCACAGTAATGCTCTATCTGGTGAAGTTTCCATCAAGATAATTGAGGTAAAAATGAGACACTCATGTAACAGATACGCAGATGTGTTTTACAGCTGAGCTTATACAGGCTTATCGAAGGAAGACAGAAATCATTGATTTACTGACCATGCTACAATATAACTGATAGCCCACAACACACTGTGCACAGGGATTTTTCAGACTCCCTCGAATGAACAAAACCAGGGGATTGTGTCTTCATGGCAAATGGTTTTCAGGCATACTCTTTCTAAATAATACATAAAGGCAATTTTAAAAATTTGAGCAGAAGTAACTCAGAATTTGAGTGTAGTGCCCACATGCATTCTTCCTAAGTGAAATCAGTTGCCATCGTATTTTGGCTGGAAAAGTATCAAGTATCTTAAGATGGGACAAGAAGCATGAAAAAACCCCAAAGAAACAGCATTATCAAGGAAGGAAATGGATCAAGGTCTAAAAAGGTACCACAGCTAGATTACTGCATCCAGAGCACAACAAACAGCTTCACTTAGCAAGACTGGTTTCCAAGTTACTTACAGAAAGTATTTACTTACATAACCTTTTACTTATTTTAAAGAATATTAGGGGAATACAACACCCAATTCTGTGGTCTAAAGCCCAAGATGTTCACAGAAATCAGCAGCAATAATAGCTGCTTAGCACTTTCTAAGACCCAGTCTGAAACAAAAAAACTATCTCCTTCCTCTTTTGCATGGTACTGAAAACTGCTAGTAAATCTAACCAGTAGATCATAATGTTTAACTATGTATTCTATACTAAGATTTACCTCGCCATAATGAAATTCTGATTTATTTCTTACTAACCAATTTGTGTGTTTGGGAAAAGTCTCTCTTTTGATATTCTACCACTTTACAATTTAAAGGTCCTTGAGATTAAAACCTTGAAAATCATCCCAATTTATTTATTTTTCAAAACTGAATCATCTGCACAGTCCCTTAAAATGTACTTTGGTCCCAGATAACCCTGGTTCTTTCTGTACTGTCTTTCTTCTACGCTGTTTTTGCTCTGTTTTGTTGGTTTATGGGGGTCACAGTACAGGTATCCCCCATGGAAATGTCATACTTCAATTCACTAAAAACTACCTTTCTGTCCAGCTTGCAGGGTGAAGGCCATGCTCAACTGCAGCATTTTCTGCTGGTAAACCAAATGCATCCCATCCCATTGGATTTATCACCTGTCAGCAAAAAAGAAGAAAAACACAATGTTATGCAACTTTCTGGAATGGCATCAGCAACACACACAAGACTCCAAATAATGAATGACGCTTTGCATTTCAGCAGTTGCTTTGTCTGAGTTGAACCTCTTCCAAACCTGCCAACTAGGGCTAGCTTTGCTTTAAAAGATGACTATGAAGCATACTTGCTATCTGCAATAAGATGTTAGAGGAAGGTTAAAGTATTATGCAATAAATCCTCATGACTATTTCAACACCAGGTTGACGGTGAAAAAAATGAACTCTTTGTAAATTTTTGTGGTGGTCAAAATCAGCAGTTTATGCTACTGCTGGACAGAATCAAATATTCATTCTAAAAATGAAAGCAAGTAAAAATAATTGACTTTTATAACTGTACTTGATGTGTACCCTATTTTTTTCTGTGTTGAAGAAGAAAAAAAGAAAAATAACATACAATAACCTTAAATCTACCAAATAAAATTAAGATAAGGAAGAAAACAGTTTTAGTCAAATTTTATTGAAATATCTTTTGTAAAGATAGACTACAAAATGACAAATTGTATTTCATGACTACAAATAACAGTGGGGGAAAAGTTTACTATAAAATATAACACATAATTTCTGTTGAAATAGAGATATATCTTTCCTACTGGCATGAAAATTATTCTGAAAAATAATCTAACAGTACAGCAAGCATTCGAAAAACTTGTTTAGCAACCAGGGAAAGAAAGGCCAGTACTTAAGATGCTATCATTAAACACATACATGTTGGATACCCGATAAAACCAATCCTATTTCTTAAACATACAAATGTGCTATAAATTCAATAATCATGATTAAAGCTACACAAGTTTAACAACAGCAAACTGTGACTAACATTTTACAAGTTGTAAGAAATCAAAATTTTTATCCCTTAAAATATGTATTTATATGAAGAACTTGTTCCTTAGTGACATATAAGCAAAGAAGCAATAAAAAAGCAATCCCAGCCATACTAATCTCATAATCTACCTTCATGTGAAAAATCTGTTCGTTTAGGAAGCATAAGAGCTCCTTTTGTCACTGGTTTGAATTATTTTTCTTCTTCTTCGCCCCTACCTTCTAATCCTCTGACTTAATGTAATCTTTCATAAAAAATATTTTATATATGAGTTTATAGAGATGCCCTAGGCACGAACACAGTGTAAAAGTAACAAGATTTAACACATTTGACTCCTCAGCATTCTTGATTCCATAGTGATGTAAAACTAAACCTGCTGTATATTATTACTGTACTGGTGCAGCAACAAAACTGAAGGTATTAACATGTGATCATGTGTGATCCAAGCCAGCACAGTAAGGGTCCACGCACAGCACATTTTTGATGTCCAAATCTAACAGAAATTGGAATGCTATCCTGTGTTACAAATTTTCCCTATTATCAGTCAAATTATTGTTCCTCATACCACAGTATCAGAAAATATGAGTCCTAACTTCCTACTTACCTACATTATAGAGGGGGAAGTGTTACACTGTAAATCTCAGTTGGAGCATAAACCACTTCTCAACACTGTTGAAGCACACCTGTTCCCAGCCCTTCTCCTCCCCAGTCCCCCACCTAGCAATCAAAACTACTGGTATACAAGAAAAAAAAAAGGGCAGGTAAACTTTACATAAACTATAAATTCCAACAGATTTTTTAAAGGACATATTAGTTCTTTTTGACCACACTATTGCTAAAGACCTGTCTCTGGACAGAAATGATGAAATAAACCAGATTTTTTTTTCCATGTATAAAACACATTTTCTCTATTAATCCCCTTTTGTTGATTGTGTGATCCCTACAACTGCCTTCTTTTACTACAAGCTGATGCACATTAAGTGAGATAGAAAAACCACTCTTGGTTAATTTTTGTAAAATTTAGCTTCTGAACACCTCCTGGATATAGACAGGCAGCCAAAAGCAAGGCAGAATCTCATTTCTCACACTCATGAGCAAAAAGATACAGGAAAAACAACCTCAGTACCAGCTACAGACTCCCCAAAAGGGCTGACAGATGATCCAGACAGTTAATGTACAGACATTTTGTCACAGTACCATCAGGGCTAGAAGGAGTAACCTGTGTACTCAGATCTTCCAAATTCTAGCATTTATTAAAAATATCACATTCACTCTTCACATTCAAAAGTTCCGTTTAATGACCAATAATGTTCCTCAAGTTAAAGGGCTGAAGAAGTATGTTAATTCAAGTTTCAATAAGAAAATGGAATTTAAAGAGACATTAAAAATATCCCCAAATTAATCTCCAGGATAGATCTATTTATGTAGTTGCTATAGAGATGAATGTAACATGCACAGTGGTTTAGAAAATTATTTCAAGTTTATTGTCTCTTTTACTTCTCTGCCATGAATGGATTTGAAAGGTTTGTGAAACACATTTGTCTAAACAACAGGTCAGCTCCTTCTGGCTGTAATCTGCAGCTAAAATGCCACAGTCTCCACGCAGCATTTGGCATTACATCTCAACTCTACTTATCCAACATAAAACACGTCAAAAATCTCAAGAGACATGGAAGAGGAAAAGAAAATATACAACTAACACGTCAAAAGTTGGCACAAATGAAAAAGGAACAGTTCAACTGTTCAAAACAAAACAAAAACAGGAAGAAAAAAACAGGAATAAAAATACTGAAGACCAAAGAGTATTCCTTGTAGCTCCTTGATGGGTTGGTCATACGCTCTAACTAGCAGAAAACATGGCTGCTCCCTCTACCATAACAGGTGAGCAGAAGAAAAACAAGTCATCTGCTTTCTTGAATGCTGACTTGATTGCTTCTGACAGCAGTCTCTAAACCTTATGAAACTGAGAGATCCATTCTGATCACTGGAATAACCACTTTTCCAAGCATCGCTTCTTTGTGTAAACAATATTTTCTCTACGCCTCAAGGAGAAAGAAAAACATATAATGACTATATCTAGTAAAGCAGGAGGCCTGCATAAGTCTAAGGATGCCCATACCTGGTAAAAGAAGGCAGGCTATAGTTTCAGCCATTTTATGATAGCCAGTGCTATCACCAAAGGCAGCCAGCTGTGTGTTTCCTGCCTTTACAATGAATTGGATAGGTAAACCCCTGGTTAAAACTCCTAGGTTAGCCTTGAACACAGATTACGTAACTTAAGATCCTCGGAAGTTCACATGATCAGGCAGGTTCAACTCTGAATGAGGGGCATTTTCTACCACTTACCACGTTTTGCACAGGAACATAAAAAGTTGCATGGAGACAATTAAATAGTGTGTGGGGAACAAAGTGTTCAGTAACTACCACACCGAGCGCTCTTTTCAGACACAGGTTATTAAAAAGGTAAACAGTTGCATCTTGAAACATTTTAGATCCTAAAGACTGACTCAAAATTAGCTCGAAGCATTGCTTTAAGAATCATTTCACAGCACAGTCAAAAATCTGTTGTTAAAGATGGCTAGAGCTCTCTCTTAATGTGAGTGTGGGACCAAGTGGAGGAAGACACAGTAACTCCATTAATTCATTTCTGAGATCTCAGCTCTTCCTCTCAGAGGATTTTCATCTATTCACTGCTGTAATGATCAGCTCATCACACTGACAATTAGTAGGTGAGATCAGTGTGCTACATAACACAGAGCTGACAATTATCTCAGTTCTAAGCCTCCATCAACATAACTAGGACTGGCAATTCTGTGAATTTTCCTTGATCTTTGTAAGGAAACAAAGAACATGTTTGCTCTCATGATGTGCTCAGTATGTCTCAGAACCATGACCAGGGAGTTGATGTATCGTTCTTACATCCAGATCAATGCATTCTAAATTTTAAGAAAGGCAGCAGAATCAGTGTCAAAAAGGCCCTCCAAACAAATATATTTATTTTAGAGAACATGTCATAAAAAAAGACAACCACAAATGAAAACCAAGAGGCTTGCTGACAAATTAGTGATGAGGGAGCTGCTCCTTCCACTGGCTGCCTACAATTGGGCTGAACTTGTTGAAAATGTAATTTGTAAATTGACATATTACAGATATAACACATTTTAAATACAAGACCTCCACCTGAATCCAGACTCGATTGTACCAGGTAGTAAATACCATTACACAACAGGTAAAAATTACAACCACCAAACAAAACAAAAAAACCCAAGCAGATAAGCCACACTTGGAAATAGATTAAAATAATTAATTTTTTGACCAGTGTGTACATTCTATTCTATTTCAAGGACTATTTCAGTGCTTTTCTTCAACACAGTGCTTCAGATTAGCATTCTGAGAAAGTACTTTCAAATTAAAAAATAATCAACCCACATAGATTTCTATCAAAACATAAAATGCCCTCATTTATTTTTTATTCTCACAAAATACAAAATACAAGAAATTATTCTATGTCCACACACTACCATAAACATTTTGAGAACAAAGTTGTCTCTTGCCTCCTAAATCTCACACATTCTTGTCTAACATAATTGCATTTAAAATTACATCTCGTTTTATCTTTTTCTTTCAAAAATGAAACAGTGAGCTCATTAACACCTTCAGTACTTGCTACAGGAAAACTGAAATTAAATAAGATTCAATTCACACACGATACTTGTAATATTTTCCACTTGATTCATACCACACGAAATAACCTGACAAAAGGACACAGCAGCCTCACATAAAAAAGGTGGAGAACAGCAGCTAATGATGATCAGAAAATGGATCTGTATTGAAATAATTCACCTTACTGATGAATTAATTATAAAGTATTAATTAAACTTGCCTGTCTGTCTTCAATACCATTCACTTTTGCAATTTCAAGAGTACTAAGATTCACTGCTGAAAAGGAAAACAATTAATGAAAATACATTCAATTTAAAAGTAGAGATGTTATGGATAAAACGAAAACGCTCTTTAAGTCATTTGGGGATATTGTGGAAATATCACTGACAATATTCTAATCCCATCTATCAAGACCAGTTTAAGTATAAATTAAGAAATGTGATTCCATCATACAGGA